GAATGCAGAAAACATCTGATATAAAACAGGCCACACACTGTATGATTCTATTTATAAACTATCTCTAATGAATAAATCATTCATAGAAACAGAAAGTTAACTAATGGTTACCGGCAGGGAAAGTAAGGAAATAGCCGCTAACCACTATCAGGCTTCCTTTTGAGGAATATCCTGACTGAGAAGATTCTGGAACTAAACAGAGGTTATGATAGTTGTATAATACTGTAAATGTTCTAAATGTCCTTGAATTGTTCACTTTCAAGTGGTTAACTTTATGTGATATCCATTCACCTTAAAAAAAAAAAAGGCTAAAGACAGAATTCAATGCAATGAGTTACAAAAGCCAAAAACAGAGGATTACACAAACATGAAGGTAAAATCCAGTATGTTCCATTATAGAAGACAATCAAAATACTTCAGTTCTGAGATGAACAATGAACAAAAGCTTCATGAAACCTATTTCTGAACTGGAATAGTAAAAATGAATACTTTCTCCTTCATTTGTTTAAAAAAAAAAAAAAACTTACTAATGCCATGCATTTTCCTTTCTTTTTTCCTAACACAAACTGTGGTTAATTGAGTTCCCCTGCAAGTACCATTCCCCAAAGCATAAATAACTCCCCGCTCCCCAAAAAGTTAGATGCCATCTAAACTTCACTTAAAGGAAATAATTTATACAGAAAATCTAGCAGCATCAAATGTTGGCTTCATAGGTGAGGAGGTTTTAGCATATGTGCATTTTTAACTTAATGAAATTTACTACTCATCATGGTTCCGTCCCAGTTGCCAGTGAAACCGAGGTACCACTCAGCCCGCCTGGCTCCTCACAGCTGAATGCAGTGAAGGACAAGCGGATTGCCCCAAGTTCAAAAGGCCAACTTAGCCATCAGTAATGATGCATCAAAACATTTTTATATTTTCCTTATTGTGGTAAAAGAGCCATAAAATCTCCACATGCGTGCAGCTGAGGGGCATTGGTGCACTCCCGCTGTCAGCCATCACTTCCAGCCAGCTCGGCAACTTTTTCACTCTCCAAATGGGAAACCGGTAACTGTCACGCAGGCCGAGTCACTTTCTCCGATTTAACTGTTCTTTTTGTCTGATTTATTTCATTTATCATACTGCGTAGACTACTAATGAAGAAATAGAGCTGTAACAGCGAAATGCACCTTTATATTACATTACTTAAGGCTATACAGCTATGCTATAAATGGCTACTTGCATTTATTTGAGAGCTGAGTTCCCATCTGCTGCTCACTCCCCTGGTGAGGGCCAAACCAGGAGCCAGCCAGGAACGCAGTCAGGTTCCCCAGACTGGCGGCGGCCATCCAATCATCTGGGCCGTCACCACTTCCTCCCAAGGTATGCGTTTTCAGGAAGCTTGTGGCATAGTGCGTTAAGCTGCTGCCTGTAGCATCAACAGTTCATATGAGCACCAGTTCAACCCCTAGATGCCTCTTTCAATCCAGATTCCGGTTAACATGTCTGGGAAAGCATCAGGGACCCCTACCCACATGGGAGATATGAAGAAGCTTCTGGCTCCTGGTTAACAGCCCCAACTGTTGTAACCATTTGGAGAGTGAACCAACGGACAGAAAATCTCTCTCCTCCCCCTCTCTCTGGAACTCTGCCTTTCAGATAAACAAAATAAATCTTAGAAAAAAGTGAAGAGGAAAAGAGGCCAGCATCAAATCCGGGCACTCAGGGTTGGGATATGAGTATCCTAACTGCTAGGCCAACGTCCACTTCCACATGTCTATTCTAGGGTTCCTCCCGAGCCTCTTCCTGGGAAGTGCTGCATGCACTGGGGACATCATTACATAAAAATGCTGTCTTTACACCTGAGCCCGATCACAAACTGTGTTCTCTCATGCTAAAGTGGTGATCCATTTGCAAATACATTTATCAATATTAGAGAATCAAGATCAAATTAACGCTTGCAATTTAGCTACTTTAGCTGGAGGCCAGGAGCAGCTCTTTCAAATCTAGATATAAGGAACACAGAAAGAGAAAAGTCGTGGTGAATCAATCACATTCCAAAAAAAAAAAAAATCTATAAAACAGGGATAATAAAGAGTACTGTGGGTCTGGTGCGGCAGCCTAATGGCTAAATCCTCGCTGGCATCCCATATGGGTACGGCTGCTACATTTCCCATCAAGCTCCCTGCTTGTGGCCTGAGAAAGCAAAGATGGCCCAAAGCCTTGGGACCCTGCACCCATGTGGGAGACCTGAAAGAAGCTCCTGGCTGCTGGCGTCCGATCAGCTCACCTCCAGCCATTTATGGCCACTTTGGGAGTGAATCAGCAGACGGAAGATCTCTTTCTCTGTCTCTCCTTCTCTCTGTATATCGACTTCCCAATGAATAAATAAATATCTTTTTTTTAAAGTAAAGAGTACTTGTATCACTGTTAGGAGAAATGAACAAAATGACATAGCTAAAGCTCAATGAGCACTGCGAGCTCATTTCACAAGTATTATATTAATGCAAGTGCTGTTTTACAAACAGTATGGCACAAACTAACTGAAGTAGGGAGAATTAAAGACATGCAATGGGAACTTCAAAACATCATTTGAACACCAAACCAGTCCTAACCCACCAATACTTCTCCCTGCGGAGTATCTACAGCTTTATTGGCAATACTGTTTCTTCCCCCACCTGAAAAATGTCTGCTGCCCGTCTCAGAGCCTGGGTTCCCAGACGGCCTCCTGTAGTCTTTACCAAGCTCCCTACAGAAAACCCACCCTCCCTCCATGACCCCAAAGCACCTGGCTGACAGTGCAAATGAGGCAATCCTCTCCCTGGGAGACACAAGTTCCGCAAGCGTGTCTTCCCGGGCGATCGGTTACGTGGGACTGTCCCTGCAATCCTGCCTGGCACAACCGATGACACAAGAGGCGCAATGTTTGCTGGACTGACTCTGAGCGTGAACGCTGGACACGGTCCAAGAGGCCAGCACTTGTTTTCAGATGCAAAAATTGATCAGGACTGCTAACCTGGTTTGTTTTTTCCAGTAAAATTGGTGAGGATAATACTGAGGCTGGCTTTCTGCTCCAGGCCAGTTCACCAGCACAGAACCGGAGGGCAGAGAACAGATCTTCATTTAAGCCTCTAAATGCCAACAAATGTACAGATACATACACGGCCTGAATTTGCACTTGTTTATAAGAGATTGATTTTTATTGGAAAGGCAGGTTTACAAAGAGAAGTAGAGACAAAGAAAGACCTTCCACCCACTTGTTCACTCTCCAAACGGACCTGCGCTAACCTGAAGCAAGGAGCTGCTTCAGGGTCTCCCACGTGGGTACAGTGTCCCAAGCACGTGGGCTACCCTCCAAAGCCTTCCCACGCCATAAGCAGGGAGCTGGATTAGAAGTGGAGCAGTCAGTGCCTAAATGGGATGCGAGCGCTTGCAGGTGGAGGATTCGCCTGTTGAACCACCAGGTCAGCTCTTACACTTTTATACTGGTCCTGTATCAATTCCCAATTGCAAAAGTTCTTGAGGAACAAGCAAAACCACTTTGTATGGCACCCCAAAGCACTACTGATCAAACATCTAATGCTGCTAACATCAACATCTGCACAGTGAGGCCTTTCTGCAAAGTGATGAGATAATTAAAACTGACATACAGGACACCATCTTCCAAAACCATGATTTGTCCGGTGCAGACTATGCCAAGTGCTAATAAGAGGCAAATTGTAACTTGCCTTTGTGGGGACTAGACACAAGGATGCACATTTTGAGTAAGTTCAACTTTACCAGCCAACAGCCACAGCGCGACGCGGCCATCCTGAAGAGGACCGAAGCCGCCCATCCCAGCAAGAAACATTCCCACAGTTCATCATCGGGGAAACGGGAGGGCCAGGATGTTCAAGGAACAAACGCTAAAGGAAAGAAGCCATCTCCTTTCCAACTGTCAGGATTAGAGAGAGACTGCAGGAAACCTTCCAGGAAATTCACGTAAGCAGGTGCCTAGAACTCGCAAACGCTGCAGCAAAGGGGTCTGTGGACCCAAGAAAGGCCAACACAGGAAAGGGTGTGTGTGGGCCCCGTGGAACAAAACTGAGCACAAAGGTGGAAACGCCACATCTGGGCGGGTCCGGCGCCACCTCGGAGCCTCAGGCCCTCCTCCGCACGCCCGGACTCGGCCGGACGCTCCGGCTTTCCCTGCTCTGAAACACGGCCTCAGGCCTCTCTCCAGGACGGCCCAGGCCTCCGGGCCGAGACGGCTTCTCCGCGGGCCGCCGGCTCTCCGATCAACCGCCGCAGCCCGGGAGCCGCCGCCCACCCTGGCCCGGATCAGCCTGCCCGCGGCCTTCCGCGGCCTGTCTGTCCTCCATTCCGCAGGCCACGCCGGGGCCCTCTCCCCCATCGGGCCGCAGCGGCCCTCTCCCCACCCTCAGGGCTCCAGGGTAACCACGGCCACCGGCGGCCGCGGCAGCAGCAGCCCGGCCAGGGGCCCCGCCGCCCCCTCGCACTCACCATGGCGACTCCCCCGAGCCCGCAGCAGGCAGCACCGACCCCGCGCGGAGCCGCTCGCGGTCAGCTGACGCCGCGGCCACGCCCCGCCCGCCAGGCCCCGCCCCCGGGCCCGCAGCCGGCCCTGCCATTGGCCCTGGGCGCCTGCCATTCAGGGCCGGACTGACAGGCCGCGCGGCGCAGCCCGGCGTCTTCGCACTGTGCGTGGGGGCCTTGCGGGACAGGGGCGCTCGCTCGGCCACCAGACCGGAGACGGCAGGCAAGAAGGCCAGGCAGAGCGGGACATGTTTGTTAGGAAGGACGGGAGGCCAAGGGAGCCGCCCTCCGCGTTCACAACATCCGCCTAGGCGCGCGCACGCGTGGTGCGCAAGCGCGCAGAGCAGGGCCGGGTTGGGCTGTGGGCTGCGCTCCGCGACGCGTCTCCACCAGTCACGCGGCGCGACGGGGCGGGCCGAGCCGTCACTGGCCGGCGCCGCGTCGGGCGCGCGTTTTGTCGCGCCTCAGCCGAGCGTGCGGGCGCCATGGGGTCCGCGCTTTTGGAGCGCTTCGCCCCGCGCCTGGGGCTAACCGACCCGCTGGTGCTGAGGTGAGCCGGGGGGCGAGGCGCGACCCTGCCCCGCGACGGGGCTGGGGGTAGCGAGAAGGGGCGGCTGTGGACGTCCATGGGGTCCGCCAGGTCTGTGAGATGCCGGGTGGGACGGGAAGGGGCTGGTCGGGAGTCCGGTTTAATTAAAACCCCAGGAGGCTGCAGCGCGGCCAGGCGGCTGCCTTAAAGATTTCTAAAAAACAAGGCCTCGGATCTCCCGCGTGTTGGAAATAAAGTTCTTTTAGTTCGGTCAAGTCGTCGTTGGCAGCAGCGGTTCTCCGTGATTCCTAGGCAAGCAACCTCTTGACACTGACCAAAAATGCAAATTCCCAGGCCCACTGAGCAGAAGCAGGAGGGGAGCGGGCAGTCGGTGTTTATGTGATCTCCCCCCCCTACCCCGGGGTGATGGCTGGGTGCCCCGTTCCGCCCTTCCCCGCCTCTGATCGCTCTTGCCCCCTCCGGCAGTGCAAAGGCTGGATTTTTCCCTCTGGCCAGAGAGCGCCCCCGGTCTGCATTCAGGGTGCTGGTTCGGTGAGAGCTTGTCCTCCCGGCCCTGAGTGAACCTGCAGGGAACGGGGCGCAGGACGCAGCCCAGCTGGCTGCTTGCTTGCAGTTTCAGGGGTCCGTTGCCTTTCCTTTCTCACCAGGAAAGCAGAGGAGTACTTACGACTGTCGCAGGTGAAGTGTGCTGGCCTGTCTGCTCGCACCACCGAGACCAGCAACGCGGTCATGTGCCTGGACCTCGCGGCTTCCTGCATGAAGTACCCGCTGGACAGGGTGAGCGCAGCAACACCACATGCAGCTGTAACTTATTTTTTATTTTGGCGGGGAGCCAAAAGGATACACTCTTTTATCAGTTGATTTATTCCTCCCCTCCCCTCGGCTTTTCTTGTGTGTCATTCCAGATAAACTTTAGAATCAACAATTAGCTGCTAATTTTTTTTCTATATATACAGTATTCTCTACCATCTAATTGGTTGGCCACCTCGCCACCTCTTTCTTTGCTAGAAGCTGTCTTCCACAGAGCTCTAGCTTGTTGTCCTAAAGCACAGGTTTTAAATTTTCCATTTCACAGAGAACAAGCTGTAGAGTCAGGAGTTAGGTGTTGAGACCAAATATTAAGCTGGTTACTGGTTCGGTGAGTCTCCATTTTCCTCATTCTTTAGGGATACAGGCCTCCGTTTAGTAGGACTATGAGGATTAAGCAGTGTGCGGTGTGTAATGTACCTTTGGTAATATTGTGGGGAGGGGTGGCTCCACTGGCTAATCCTCTTCCTGCAAGTGCCTGCATCCCATATGGATGCTGGTTTATGCCCTGGGCGCTCCGCTACCCATCCAGCTCCCTGCTTGTGACTTGGAAAACAAGGAGGGGTGGCCCAAAGCCTAGGGACCCTGCTCCCAACCGCTGGCTTCAGATTGGCGCAGCTTCAGACGTGGCAGCCATTGCGGGAGAGAGCCAGAGATCTTTCTTTCTGTCTCTCTCCTTCTCTCTGTGAATCTGCCTCTCCAATGAAAACAATTAAATCTTTTAAAAAGTAAAGAAAGGCAAGCTGTGTTGGCCTTCTGCAGCCTCCCTTCAGCCCTGACGTGAAACTGTAATATTCATGAACAGACCTTGCACTTGGGTGACTCGTGGCCTCATGCATACAACGCCTTTTTATCCTGGAGTGCTCCTCCAGCAAGCTCCTGTTGGTCCGAGGTGACCCTACCTTGATGTCGCATCCTTGAGTCTGCTTGCTCAGAATTTCTGATCTTCTGCTTCGGTTCCCTGCCCTCATTTGTTCACTCTGTACACGTACCCTGCTCACTCACTGCTTTCTTCATTTTCCACATAAGTTTTCCATTGGCACTTTGTTGAGAAAAAAAGCAACCACATATGTGCCTTCCGTGGTTTTCAATGCACAAGTTGGCTATGTGAATAGTAATTCAAATTGTTTCTTCACAAGCAAATCGTCTCTGCTTAATGTGATTATGGTTCTGACTAAATAGAATCATTTGCAGTAAAAGGATTTACCTCAGAATTGATTTGGCAGAGTTGATACTACTTATTAAACAACTATTCAGGAATACTAATATATGAACCTTTGTGGGTTTTTTTTCTAAAGGCTTATTTAATTAAACTTTCTGGTTTGAATAAGAAGATGTATCAGAGCTGTCTTAAGTCTTTTGAGTGTTTACTGGGCCTGAATTCAAATGTTGGAATCAGAGACCTCGCAGTACAGTTTAGCTGTACAGAAGCGGTGAACATGGCTTCAAAGATCCTGCAGAGGTACGGGACGTGGGTAAGGTGAAATTATCTAGTGCTCTGTCCTTGTCCATTTTCTGTCTTCAAAAGGCCAAAGTGATGGCAGATGTCACGCATTTTAAAAGCCTGTTAGTTTCGATTTGCATTTTCATTTGCTTCTGTAGTGATATTTGCTAACAAATAATTCTGTCAAACTTCCTCAGCTATGAATCCAGTCTTCCCCAGACACAGCAAGTGGAGCTTGACTTGTCCAGGCCGCTTTTCACCACCGCTGCTGTACTCTCGGCATGCAAGTGAGTGTTCCTTTAACGTCCAGGAAAGGGGCTTTCTATTCCCAAAGAGTACTTGACATAGAGCGCTTTCAACTCTGAGCACATTTTCTCCTATAAATAATATTGAGCATAGTGGTCAGATGGCCGCACTGTCTTATCCCTTAGTGTTGTCAGCAGGTTGGAACCAGGACTGCTGTAAATTCCCTTGCTAACAGGCAGCTGTATCGAGAAGCTAAGTGTTTTGAATTCAGAGTCCATCATAAGTGTTGAAGTCTGACATTAAAACAGTCGTCATGGGTGATTTTTTAAAAAGTACTGCTGGAAAGTTACAGAAATCAAAATTTTAAAGGATGAATTTCTCGCTAGCTATGTACTGATTTGGGTATGTTTAGCTCTGTTACCTCCATTCTTGCAAATGATATTTCTTCACTGCTATTTGCAGAAAATGTCTTGTCAGTTCAGCAGAGGTATGTGTGTATAGGGATAGAAGAAAGCTTTTCCAGAAACCAGTGAGGGTAGTTAAGTAACTCCATTTTTAAAATCAGTTATACTGAGCAAAACAGGTCTACATGGATCTGTTATCCTAAATAAGAAGTTTGGTTTGGTGTGTGTGTGTGTTTAAAAGATTTATTTATTCGTATTGCAAAGTCAGATATACAGAGAGAAGAGACAGAGAGGAAGATTTTCCATCCATTAGTTCACTCCCCAAGTGATGGCAATGGCCGGTGCTGTGCCGATCCAAAGCCGAAACCAGGAGCTCTTCCGGGTCTCCCACGCAGGTGGAGGGTCCCAAAGCTTTGGGCTGTCCTCGACTGCTTTCCCAGACACAAGCAGGGAGCTGGATGGGAAGTGGAGCTTCCAGGGTTAGAACCAGTGCCCATATGGCATCCAGCACATCCAAGGCGAGGACGTTAGCTGCTAGGCCCTGGTTGTGTTTTATTAGTGCTTCTTGGGAGATTATTAGGATTACAAGAGTTGAGGGTTGGTTGGTTTGTTTTTTCTTCCTGAGTTGGAGTGTTTCAACAGCCTAGATGAAGTGAATTGAACACTTAGAAGAGGCTGTTGTTGTCATTTGGCAAATTAGTAACGTATGAAGTTGACTGGAAAGCATCAGGGATTACAGCAAATGTTTTTTCTGTGCTCCATTGTTGCAAGACAAAATTCCATGTGCATTTTAACTCACAGTCCAATAAATGACTAAAGAGCTTACAAAAGCAAATCTATAGGATTGTATCTCATGACATATGTTTGAAACAAAGGAAAAATTAGGTAGTTGGGGACTGTTATTAAAGCATGAACAGAAAAGGAAATAGGTTGATACTCTGTTTGGCCAGGAAAGCTATTTTGTTCTTGACAAAATCAATTTTTAACCTTTTGTAGGATTCTAAAGCTAAAAGTGGATAAGAACAAAATGGTAGCCGCATCCGGTGTGAAAAAAGCCATATTTGATAGACTCTGTAAGCAGCTGGAGAAGATCGGGCAGCAGATTGACAGTGAGTAGTCTTGAAGATCTGTTTATTTGAAAGACAGAGTCACTGCCATTGTCCATGCCTGCAGTGATGAACATGTGACTGCTTATGAAGAGCTATGCTATAGTAATAATATAGGGGAGTTTGGGGAGGGGGGGGAAATCACAGAGCCTATGGAACTGTCATAGAATGATGACAATAATTTAAAAAGAAATTAAAACAAATATGTATATTTGGTTTAAGTGAGAAAGGCAGAGTTAAAGGCTGAGGCGCAGACACATCCAGAGAGAGAGAGAGAGCCTTCATCCTCTCGTTTATTCCCCAAATGGCAAAAGTGGCCAGGGCTGCACCAGACTGAAGCCAGGGGCTTCCTCTGCGTCTCCCACTGGGTGCAGCGGCACGAGTACTCAGGCTGTCTTCTGCTTTCTGGGATCAGAAGTAGAGCAGCCGGGACTCGAACTGGTACCAATGGGAATGCTGTCACTGGAGGCGAAAGTGTAACCCACCGTGTCGCAGCATTGACCACAAGCCAAGCATTTTTTTTAACACACAGTAGTTGCTTCCTGAATCTATGAAAATTTGATATGAACCAATTTTTTAGTGAGAAAATTTATGTTTTTAAGTAGGGTGATTTTTTTTGAAACTTTTTAAGATTCCATAATTGCATGTCTGCAAAATTGATTTTTCTTGTAGCATTCTCTAATGTTAGATGCCAGCCTTTACTTACAGAGGCTAGAATACATCTGACCAGAGAAGTCAGAGAAGAGGGGATCGCTCGCCTTCCCTTCTCAGTTATTGGTCAGTCAAGGTTTCTAATTTTTACTTGTGAGCTAATTCATTGCCCAATTACTACAATTAAGAATAGGAGAAAAATTAATGTTGCTAACACTTTTATTTTTCCTCACAGGAGAACCTGGAGATTTACCTACTCCACCACCGAAAAAACAGAAAACAATGTTGCCAGCAAAGAGTAAGTCTTACCTGCGCTAGTGACAAACAACTCTACTTTTTTGCTGTTGTTGCTTTTTGATTTAAGAACAGAGACCTAGGCTGATGCTCCCGGGTACTAACTCATTCCCTAAATGCCTGCCATGACCAGGCTAGACAGAGGCCTCTGAGCTGGAGTCAGCAACCAGGAACTCACCCTGGTCTCCGTGAGGGTGGCAGGAACCCAGCCACTGGAGCCATCACTGCTGCCCCCAGGGTCTGCATTGGCAAATACTCATCAGGGGCCAGAACCGTGAATCAGACCCATGTATTCCAGTGTGGGGAACAAGGATCTTAATTTGCATCTTTTTGTTTTGTAGATTTTATTTTTGTTTTATTGGAAAGTCAGGTATACAGAGAGAAGGAGAGACAGAGAGGAAGATCTTCTATCCATTGATTCGCTCCCTGAGTGACCACAGTGACCAGAGCTGCGCCAATCCAAAGCCAAGAGCCTCTTCCAGGTCTCCCATGTGGATGCAGGATCCCAAGGCTTTGCGCCATCCTCGACTGCTTTCCCAGGCCACAGGCACGGAGCTGGATGGGAAGGGGGCTGTTGGGATTAGAACCAGCACCCTAATGGGATCCTGGCTCATGCAAGGCAAGGAGGACATTAGCCACTAGGCTACCACACTGGGCACTTAATTTGCATAGTAGCCGTAAGGCTAAATACCCATCCTGAGAATTGGGTTTTAAATAAATCATGATTATTAATCATTTGATAAGAACAGTTTTCCGAGAAGCTATAGGTGGCCGTGATAGAAGTATGTAGTTAAGAACATCTTGGCAGGCAAACTGCCTAGGTTCAAATCTTTGTTTAACACTGTGAAAAGAACTTCAGAAAAAAATCACAAACTCTATTAAAGAGTGATGAATGATCTGTGGAAAGAGGTTCACGCCCTGTGGAGATTAAAATATTAGTTGTGGAGCTCTGCCCCCTAAACCAAACCACCAGAGGCCCAAGGGACCCTGAATCTCACACCTTCCGGGCAGACTGAGAATGCGGCAGAAGGCAGGCTCCTGCTCACATTGTGGCCGTCTTGCTGGCCAAGCGTGCCTGGAGAGGTGGGAGGCGTCTTCACCATCATATTTCTTCCTTTAGCGATTGTGGCCTGAACGTATCTGAGAACAAAGTTCTGTTAGATTCCTTTTTTTAGTTATAACTGTTTCTTTACCAGTAACTCATGTTTACTTATCCTGTTGCCTGAGACCTGGTGGGTTGTTTTCCAAATCCCTGTGATCTATTGTTAGGGTAGCTGGTAGGCTATTGTTTAGTTAGCTAGTAACCTTTATCCACCTGCTTGCTCTACAAGGATTATGGTATAAGTTACCCAGTAAAATTCAGTGAAGTGTGCATTGTTTCATCTCACCTATGTACCCCCTGTGTCCCACGTTTCTTCTTGGTGCAAATGTCACGCCTCGAGTCCCGGGCCCACTAGAGGGACCCCTGAGAGTGCCCCACCCAGCAGCACAGACAGCACAGACAGCAGTCTCTGTAGACTGGAAAGCAGAGTAGGGAAGTTACCTGGTTGGTCATGGTCGGGCATCTGCCTTAGGGCGTCTTCTTATAGAAGGTCCCTGGTTATAGAACCATTTATTTAGCTGGTTGACTGTTTATAATTGCTGGAGATTGATTTTGTTGTTGTTTTAATTTTTCATCTCCACTCCAGATGTTTCCATGTTAAGGTCCAGTTTGCTTGTGTAAGAGCTCCAGCTGATGGTTTCCTTTTGTTCACTTACCTATTGTCACCACCACCTATTGGCTTGTGATTTTTGATTAATATTAGCACCTACCTGTAGGTGCGAATACCTGTAGGTTTTACATGAGTTTTAAATGAGATACTAAAAGGGGCTTGCCGGAGTCCAGCTCCAGCTGAGTTTGGAGCTCGGGAAGGGTGCATGGAGTCGGCGATAAAGAAAGACACAGACACAGACACTTGGTGTGTTCTCACACAAGCTCAGGAAAAAGCTGTCCTTTTTATTTACTCAAAACCCTTCTCAAGCTTCTGTACAAGCAACTATTCTATTTTTTTTCTTTTCAAAATTAAGGGGGCATGTACAGATATTTGGTCACTCCGTCTGCACTTCAAGGCTAGGCAGGTGCTCCTAAAGATAATTTTGCAAAATACTGTATTCATATTCTTCAAAGCAAGCTATTGTTTATTCTACAACAGCAGCCATGGAGCAACAGCCAGGACATCCTTAATTCCTCTAGCTAAAAATTATAAAATCAGCTAAAACAATTACATTTTCTAGGGTCCAAAAAATTGCAAAGGCAGGCTAGCCTTTGAGATAACAATAACTATATTTATTGCCATAGCAGTTTCAGCTCTCACTCCCATCCCTTGCATTAGTATTTAAGACATATATATCAAGCCCCTTTCCAGAGGGTGTGCTGTATGTCTGGGCCAGGTTCTGAGGCAATAGTTAGCACACAATAAGATGTCCAAAAATGACATGGGCTTAATTGTGCTCCTGTGTGTAAATTGTCAAAGGCCCACTCACCAAGACATTATCAGTGACATTAACTCTCAAGCTCACGTCAGTTGTAAAAACTGTCTCACAGAGGCAAACAACAATGCCTCAAAAGAATACAGACTTCTTAGTGGGGTGCTTAAGTGTCCATGCAAACAGGGGGTGAAACAGCGTCAGGGTGGTCGGAGAGAAATACGCCGGGCCCTGCCAAACAGCTGGAAGCTCCCTTGGGCCCTGCCAAGCAGGGGAGCTGTTCTCTTCACACCTTCGTGCCATCCACACCTACCGCACGGACCCCAGCAGGGGCTGGCACATTGACTCAACTAACTAATCCTCCATCTCCAAGCACCAGTATCCCGTACGGGTGCCAGTTCACATCCCAGCTACTGTACTTCCCACCCTGTCTTGCTTATGGCCTGGGAAAGCGGGAGAGGATGGCCCAAGTCCTTGAGCCCCAGCACCCACGGGAAGACCCAGAAGGATCTCCTAGCTGCTGGTTTTGGATTAGTTCAGCACTACCCGTTGGCCATTTGGGGCCACATTTACATTTACGTTTCACTGTAAAACTGCCTTTCAAATAAAAACAAATGATTTTTTTCTATTTTACAATTTTGCAGGTATTGGCTTCCTCTCCCCTTACTCTTACTCCCCTCCCCGTTGTCCGCCATGTTTTATAGTAGATGTCCTTCAGCTGGAGTCTGGACTCCAGCATTCTGCTCTTTATGCGGGTAATGGCACTCTTGGTATAAGCAGTAGCAGAGGGGCTAGTGTTTTGTTGTCTAGATACATTTAGAAGTTTCATCGGGTCCTACTTTTATTCGGAAGTAAGGAAGAATTCTGTCGATCTTTGATACCTAGTACTCTAGTCTCCATTACATCCTTCGTTTGTGAGATTGCAAGTGTACGTTCATTTACCTTTATATCTGTTTTGTTTTGTATCTTGGATGGACGTTGTCTTATATCGCTAAACATAATAGTCTCCAATTGGGACCATTTGGTTGCAATTGGTAAGATTTCATAATATTCCATAGAGTAGATACACCAGTTTCTTTATCCAATCCTCCTTCAGTGGGTATCTAGGTTGTTTCCATGTTTTTGCAATTACTGGTTGTGCTGCAGTGAATACGGTGATCCAGGTTGCTTTCTCATTGTGGATGTTTCAGTTCTTTTGGACAGATTCCCAGTAGTGGGATTGCTGGGTCAAATCCTAAGTGGGTTTTCAGTTGCCCGAGTATTCTCCATACCGACTTCCATAGTGACTGCACAAGTCTACAGTCCCTCAAGCAATGGATTAGGGTACCTTTTTCCCCACATCCTCGCCAGCAGGTATTATTGGTAGTTCTCTGCCTGGGGTCATTCTTGCTGGGGTTAAATGGACCCATTGTGTTATCCATTTGAATTTGTTCCTTTGAAAAATGTGCTCATATGCTTTGCTCATTTCTTAACAGGGTGTTTTGGTTTTGTTATTGTGTTTTTGGAGTTCTTTATATATCCCGAATATTAGCCCGCATCTGTTGTATAATGTACAAAGGTTTTCTCCCATTCTGTTGGTTGCTTTTTCACTTTTTTTATTGTTTTCTTTGCTGTGCAGAAGCTGCTTAGTTTGATGTGGTCCCATTTATTTATTTTGCTCCTGACTGCCTGTGCTTCTGATGACGTTTCTTTTTTTTTTTTTTTCTATTTTTTTTAATTTTAATAATCTTAGTTGATTAGGGTACAAAGGGTCAAGGGCTACAGGGTGAAAGTGGGTAATACCATTGTTTCCATACTAATATTATCATTTTTCCTTGTATCTGGGGTTAGGGGAGTAACAAAGGGAAAAGCCCCACCCTACCTCCCACCCATCCGCCATCCCCAAAGAGAGGTGCACTCCGAGGGTCCTGCTCAAACAGTTTTGATAGTTCATCAGTTCTGAATTGCTGCCAATCTCACCGTCCCAACCGCAATGAAACCTATTCAGAGTCCACTGGCTGACAGTCTCTTGATGGTTGGGGTTCTAAGATCAGCAGTTCAGTTGGAGGGATCGCCAAAGAAACTTCATCTGAGATAATCCCAGATCTGATTCTTGAGTGAGTTTGCTAGTACAGACTCCAACAATGTCCATCACACCAATCAGGTTATGCACATGCTGGTCATTGCTGTTGCTGGGTCAGTTCTGTTTCCAACCCTGTCTTCCTTGTGAACCAACGGGTGTTGTAGTCCAGCTCGATCCTACCCACTTCATACTTGATCCTCACACAAACAAGTTAGAGCTGCAGCCTAGTTGGGGTGACTCCCCATAACCCCCACCAGTTCTGCCCCCTACTCTGGTTCCCATACTTGCCAGTATGTAATGCAGGCTTGTCCAGTCTGTCCCACATCCCATTCAGCTCTCATACATGTCAATGGGCATTGAAGCCTAGTTCAACCCAACCAGCCCTGCTATCCAGCCCACACACATACTGGTGGATGCTATTCTGTCTAGCCACCCCCGTCCCTGTCCTGGTTTTCATGCTGTCCAGTGAGAGGGTAACCCTGAGGGAGGTGCCCACTATTTCCCTTCTAGTTCACACCTACTCCCAGATTATGCACTCTCCTGCAGTGGTGGTGGTTTTGGCATTTGACTTGACAGAATTAGCTCCCAGTGCCAGCCTCTGCCAGCTAATGCTGTGGCTAAGCCCAACCAACCCTCACCCACTCTAATTTTTGCTTGCACCAGTCAGAACAGTGAGCCCACCGTGACCCTTCCCTTATTTAGCTCACATGAGGCCCCCAGGTGCTATAGCCCTGCCTAGTCTGAACTGCCCCCATCCCAACTCACGCTTTCCAATGGAAGTAGTTGTCCAGCAGGGGAGCCCACATTCCCCTGCTAGCTTTGCCTCCTACCCCGATTTTCACCTGTGCTTGTTTGGGCGCTGCAACCACATCTGGTACGGCTCATCTCACCTTGGCATTCCTTAATGTGTACTGCTATGTGTTGCAACTGAACGTGGCCCGACACACACTCTGTTCTGGTGCTCGGATTCTCCAGCGGGTGATGTGAACGGGTTCAGCCTGGTCCGCACCCAACCCATGCCATGTGTATGCCAGTGGGATAATTTCCATTGTCTGTTCTGGACTGTTTCCTATTGTGCTTCTTGCGCTTACCTGCAGCGACTGTGTCCTGCCAGAGTTGTCCAGGCTGCTCCATCAGAAACTCTCCCAATGCCAGTTTTTGCGCATACCAGTGGGTCCATGAGCCAGCCCTACTCAGTTCACCTCCTGTCCTAGCAGGAACAGTGGCTTTTCCTGACCAGCCTTCAACCAGCCTTCACTGTTGGATGTTTCAACCCAGCCATGGCTCTTCCATACCCACATACAGCTCACACATGGTTCAGTAAGGGATGAGACCTAGCCTAGTCTGTCCCACATCTATCCCGGTCCTCCAGAGCACCAGATTGTGTCGGAATCTGGCCGGGCTTGGTGCTTCCAGCCCCAGTCCACACTTGTGCCAAGTGAGATTACAACCATATCCTGATCAGAACACAGCCCCAATTCCAGCCCATGCGCTCTTTGGTGGGAAACTCAACCCAGCTAGGGTGTCCCCTTAGCTCCCCAACCGGGCCTATTCCCAGCCTTAGATCACATGCAGGTCGGTGGTTGTTCTGCCTCAGCATGGCAGAGCCCCTCACTTGTCCTGGCCCTTTGGATGCTGTGGCTTAGCATCCCTAGCTCACGCAGATCAGTAGGTGCAAGGGCCTACTTGGCATGACCTGTGCACCAACCTGATTTCTGTTGTTTCTTGTGAGAGTTAAGGTTTGTTCAGCCCTGCCCATTCTGCCCCCTTCAGGTGGCAACCCGGCCCACCCCACATCCTGTTTAAGGATGCACATTCAGGTGCTGCTGCCTTGACCTACCCTGACTGTTGTGGGTTCCTTTACCCGTGAGAGATGGCAGGTGGCATGGTCACACTTAGCTTAGAAAATTGCAACCCCAGCTTTCGAGCTAACCAGGGGAACTTGCATTTCTGCCTGGTTGGGCCCACACAACCCCACAGAGTCTACCCCCAGACCAAGTTCTCTTGCGTGCTGGATAGTGTCTTGATCCTGCCAAATGTGACCATTCCACAACTCCACCACCCAGTTGGGTAATGGTACCTAAAACTGCCAAAGAGGCCCCCATCCGTAGCTTTAGTGTGGGCTAGTGTGTGGTGATCAGTAGTGTTCTATGCTAATAGCCCATCTCTGTATTCCTAGTTGGACTGTTGAATCTGTCTAACCCAAATTATCTTCTGGATACTTCCCTCCAAATCACCAGGTCTTGGTCACCACGTATGCCTAAATCTTTCATGACCCTGTCACTGAGAATCACCCAAAATTCACTTCTCACCTGCACTCAAACTGGAATTAGTCATGGGTGTCACCAGGCAGCAACTACATATCTTAAAAACCCCAGAGTTCGCCGCCGGGTGGCCAGCAAGAAAAGCCTGGCACCACTTGGTGCACTGGCTGCTCTGGGGGAGGCCAAGGACTGCCTTCCAGCAGTGTCTTTGGCGTGAGTCTCCAGCATTGGGTCTGACCCAGCAGGGGCACCCCCCACAGTCATCACACTGCAAGGAGCGGCAAATGCCCCCAACCCCAAGGCCTGAACCCCTCCCAAACTCACCCTGCCTCAAGATCTTCTGATGTCGTTTCTAAGGAGTCTTTACACACTCCTATGTCTTACAGAGTGTTTCCTTCTAATAGCCTGATGGTTTCTGGGTGTAGGTTTACCTCTGTATCCATTTAGATTTGATCTTTTTTATGGTGAAAGCTGAGGGTCTTGTTTCTTACTTCTGCAGGCTGTTATCCAATTGTCCCAACATCATCTGTTGAAGAGACCCAACTTTTTTCCTTGGGATGTTTTTTGTTCTCTGTTGAAGATTAGTTGTATGTGTGGGGCGGGGGGGCTCTCTGGTATTTCTATTCTGCTCCGTTGGTCTTCTCTGCTTTGGTTCAGTACCAGGCTGTTTTGATTACTGCCGCCCTATAATATATGTTAAGGTCTGGAATTGTGATCCCTCCAGCTAGATTCTTATTCTTCAAGATAGTTTTGGGTACTCATGGTCTCTTGTGTTTCCAGATGAATCTTTGTATCACTTTTTCTAGCTCTGTGAAGAATGTTCTTGGGATATCGATTGGTATCACATTGAATCTGTCTACTACTTTTTGCAATATGGATATTTTGATGGTGTTGATTCTGCTGGGCCAGGAACATGGTATATTTCTCCACTTTTTAAAGTCTTCTATTTCTTTTTCAATGTTCTGTAATTTTCCTAATAGAGATCTTCCACATCTTTAATTAGGTTTGTTCTAAGCTATTTCAATATCTACTTTGTTATTTTGAGAGATACCATGTTGACTAGTTCTTTTTCAGCCCAGGAATTGTTTGTATATACTAGTGCCATTGATTTGCATTTCTTTATTTTATACCTTGCTACCTTACCAAACCTTTAGAGTTCTAGCAGTTTCTTTATTGAGTCTTTTAGTTCTCCTGTGTATAGAATCGTGTCATCTGCAAACAGAGACAGTGTGACTTCCTCTGTTCCAGTTTGAATTCCTTTAATTTCTTTTTTCTTCCTGATAGCTCTAGCAAGGATATAGCAATGGCAATAGCAGACATCCTTCATCTAGTTCCAGATGTTAGTGGGAAAGCTACCAGTTTTTCCACATTCAGTATGATGCTGGCATTGGGTTTTTTGGTAAATTGCTTCAGTTGTGTTGTAAAATGTTCCTTCTGTGCCTGTCTTGCTCAGGGTTTTTAGAATGAAGTGGTGTTGGGTTTTATCAATGCTTCCTCTATGTCTAGTGAGTATGGTCTTTGTTCTTCAGTTTATTGATGTGATATATATCACATTTATAGATCTGTAATTCTTTGTTTTGTTTTTAATGGTACAGGTTCCATAGGCTCTGGGATTTCCCCTTCTCATTCCCTTAATCCTCTCCCCACCAATGATTTCCCCTATATTATTATAATAGAACAGTCCTTCACAAACAGTCATATGTCCATCATTCTGCTATTTAAGTGTATCCTGACACTATAGATATGGACAATGGCAGAGATTCCAGCATGCTAAGATATGCATCTGTTAAACCATCCCTGCATGCCAGGGATAAATCCCACCTGTTCTGGGTGAATGACCTGTCTTATGTATTATTTCATTGTATTATTTCATTGTGTTGGCTAGTATTTTATTGAAGACTTTTGCATCTATGTTCATCAAGGATACTGGTGATCTCTTACTAGTTGTAAAACTGCCTTTCAAATAAAAAAATAATTAAATGTTATTTTAGGAAAATGAAGCACTGTTTAAAGTGTTTATTTCCATGCCTATCAAGCTCAAAATAGGTGCTTGATAAATGTTAGCTGCTATCAGATGCCTTGGAATTCTTATTCCCAGTTATGTTAATTAGCTAAAGCAAACACTTCAGACTAGTTTACTTTTTTATCTCTTTTGCAAGCACAAAAAATTTGAAGAACTCTTTTGATGATTTTTCCTCAGCAACAGAGAAGATGGTAGAGGCCTCACACAGACCACAGCCATGTGACGATCTGACACAGGATTATGAAGAATGGAGAAGGAAGATTTTGGAAAATGCTGCCATTGCTCAAAAGGCTGTAACAGAGTGAGTTGTGTCCAGACTGACCTGTGCTGCCTCCAGGAAGATGTAAGGACTTGGGAGTTTGTTTGACCCTAAGATGATTGCCTTGAAGCAGAGAAGCGAACCCTAGGGCTGAGGTCCGCGCGGTGGGCGGACCCTTAGCGTGATGAGGACTGGATAAGGCGTGAGTCCTCGCATGGCCCTTTCTCCCCCAGCTCTGTGAAAAAATTGGAACCATTTTGCTTTGTTTTTTGGATTTTATTTTGTTTTGTTTTCAAAGCAAAAGGCAGTGTCCTGTCCTGTCTGCGGCGAAAAATGCATTCAGTTAGGTCTACAGTAAGCTTTCCGATTTGACTAAATTGATGTGTTGTACAGACTAAGTTAATAAATATTACTTTTATATACAAGTTGTACTTGTTATCAGTTTGGAGCAGTCCTTACCAGGCCAGAGTTTGTTTCTACTCTGGTAGGGAAGATTTTTTTTCCCTACATTGTTGTGCACTGACCACAAATTGTGTCATTTGTGGACTTAAAACCCTGCTCCAGCATTTAGACCAGTGGAACCTTGAGCAGATGAGTTAACCTTATTCCTCCCCTGTAAAAATAAATAGTAACAAAAGTAACACTACCCTAGATAATTTGGAGAAGTACCCGAGTGCAAAAGGTTTAGCACAGTAACTGCTATGAGTGTTCTGTAGTATTACAATAGAGAGGCTCACACGTGGACACAGAATGATTACCCAGTGTAATTTTGCAGTCAACCAGTATTTCTTTTGATATATTCATATTGAAAAATATGATGTTCGTAAGTAGTAGTTATTTTTAAATGGAAATAGCATTAAATTGTAATGGCCATCATGCCAGATATGATTTTTTTTTTTTCAGATTTATTTATTGGAAAGTCAGGGCTCGGGACGTGACCCCTGGCAGTATGGCTGCCGGGGTCCCCAAGCCCAACCAAGCTGGTCTCCTGGGAAGCAACCAGCAGTCTTCACGCCCACTCGGAAGGCTGCTTCGGGGAGGCTGGACCCCCGCGCGTGGCCCTTTTCGGGCCTAGCGTGGTCGTGCAGGTACAGCTAATCCAACCCCCTGGCCAGTGACGCTAGGGGTGTGGCCAGACCCAAGCCCGGGCCGGGAAGAGGGGCGGGGCTGACGCTCAGGGACGTGACCCCTGGCAGTATGGCTGCCGGGGTCCCCAAGCTCAACCAAGCTCGTCGCCTGGGAAGCAACCAGCATCTCACGCCCCTCGGAAGGCGCTGGGGGCGGTGTTCAGGCCTAGCGTGGTCATGCAGGTACAGCTAATCCGACCCCTGGGCTGGTGACGCTAGGGGTGTGGCCAGACCCAAGCCCGGGCCGGGAAGAGGGGCGGGGCTGAAGATTGGGGACGTGACCCCTGGCATTCTGGCTGCCTGGGTCCCCAAGCTCAACCAAGCTCGTCACCTGGGAAGCAACCAGCAGTCTTCACACCCACTTGGAAGACTGCTTCGGGGAGGCTGGACCCCCACGTGTGGCCCTTTTTGGGCCTAGCGTGGTCGTGCAGGTACAGCTAATCCGACCCCCGGGTTGGTGGCGCTAGGGGCGTGGCCAGACCCAAGCCCGGGCCGGGAAGAGGGGCGGGGCTGATGCTTGGGGACGTGACCCCCGGCATTCTGGCTGCCTGGGTCCCCAAGCTCAACCAAGCTTATCTCCTGGGAAGCAACCAGCAGTCTTCACGCCCACTCGGAAGACTGCTTCGGGGTGGCCAGTGCGCCAGTTGTTGCCAGGCTTCGCCTGCAGGCCGCCCAGCCCGAGAGTTCTGAGAAATTGGTTCTCTGTATGGTGCTCAAGACGGCTTCATGCTGAAGCTGTGGCATTTTGGGGACACCAAGCAACCCTAAAGATTTCCAACGGCTGTAAATCTCCGTCAGACGAATCTGCTGCTATCATGGTTTCACTCCATAAGTTCCGAATGATTGTAACTCCCAATATAATGCCAATTCATTACGATACACAGTAACTGGGTGGGAATACGGAGAAATCTCTCATTTCCCTTGAAAAAGCTAGGAATCCACGTAGTGTAACCTGCAGGATCTGCATAAGTATATTAAAGTTGATAGATCCAGATCAGCATTAGACAATAGCAAAAGCTATAATGACACACAGGGGGAATTAGGAACGACCCAAACAGTCTATTAACAGGTGGTCATATGCACAGAATAGGGGAGAACCCCAGAGTGGAACAGAGGGACTGGAGGAGGCTTATCCCCCACCCATAAGGACTCCCGGACTCCCACCAAGGTCTATCAGAACAGACACAAGAATGTCAACACAACAGCCAAAGAGAACACGGGGATCTGGAATGCCTCTGAATGCTGTGAACCCAGAGGACAGACACCCCCTCTCTTTGGACAAACTACACGAGATGGAAGAAGCCCGAGTCCTTCCACATAGGAACTAACGACATCAGAACAACAATCGGTCATCAGAACCAGAAGATCAATAAACTTCCGGCGGGACAGTGGCGGAGGAACCCTCTCCAGTCCTTACCTAGTTCCAGCTCTGGGCCTCCACCCCCTATAATGACCAACAAAGTTCCTCCTAACCCCCCAGCCCCTCTTCACACACACACACACATACACACAGACTCATATACACACACTAATAGGATGAGATAACCAAAGAACAATAAAGATAGGTCATCAAGGACTCACTCATGTACTATTAGATGGAACATAAAGAACAAGTACCCATTAGCAAGGTATGAGAGATTTCTCTGCAACACCCCCTAAAATCGTTACACACCTCAATTGAGGAGGTGACATTGAAATAGTTGTAGAAGGTAATCAAGAACTTACATGTAATTTTAACATATTGTCTACTCAATACTATGTCAGACATCTAATGTTTGCCTTGATTTAACCTGTAATTTATGCTTGGTTGATTGTTACTTTTTGAACCTGTCATTGATACTGTCTAAACCCAGAGGTTTTGAAGAATTGAACTTTTTTTTTTTTTTAACATATTGTTCACTCAATACTATACCAATTAATCCCATAACATTGTATATCGATGCTGATGTTTTGTTGGGGGTTTTAACTGACCGGAACTTTACTCTGTTAGCTCTACCTTCAGACCAGAGAAGGTCTCCCCAAGAGGCCACTGAACTTATCTGGACAATAAGACGTTGGACTTTATGCTAGGTATATGCTTACAATGAAGGAATTTCAACTGAACTTGAAACGCGGTTATGCAGCAAGATGGAGCAATCCACTGTGGGAGGAGGCGTGTGGGAGGGGTGGGGGAACTCCCCAGTGCTTATAAAACTGTATCACGTAATACAATGTTAATAAAAAAAAAATTAAAGTAAAAAAAAAAAAAAGAACTGGTCCTAGTACTTGGGCCTTTTCCACTCACATTGAAACCCTCATAGGATAGTTCCTGATTCCTGCTTTGGCCTAATGTAGACCTGAATGTTGCAGCCATTTGAGGAGTGAATCACCAGATGAAAAATTTCCTCTTTTCCTTTTCTCTTTTGTTCTCTGTTCTCTCTCTCTCTTTCTCTGTCTCCCACCTTCTCTCATGCTGCATTAAAAATAAACAGATTTTAAAAAATAAAAAAAAAAAAGAAAGTCAGATATACAGAGAGGAGGAGAGACAGAGAAGAAGATCTACCGTCGGATGATTCACTCCCCAAGTGAGCACAACGGCTGATGCTAGGCTGATGCTAGGCTGAGCTGAAGCCAGGATCCAGGAACTTCTTCCGGGTATCTCACATGGGTGCAGGGTCCCAAGGCTTTGGGCCGTCCTCGATTGCTTTCCCAGGCCACAAGCAGGGAGCTGGATGAGAAGTGGAGCTGCCGGGATTAGAACCGGCACCCATATGGGATCCCGGCACGTTCAAGGCGAGGACTTTAGCCACTAGGCCACGCCACCGGGTCCACCAGATATGATTTTAACTAAAATTAAGAACATAAGGGCCTGTCTGCCAGCTGGCGGCAGCAACAGCAGCAGGAGTGGCTCCAGGCTGGGCCTGCTTGATGTCATGTTGAACCTACCTGCTCCTCAGGAGCCACAGGTGACTCCAGAGGCCTGCCGGAGCCTTTTTGCCCCTGCCCAGCTGGCAGCAGCATCAGCAGGGTTGGCTCCAAGGGTGTAACTCTCGGGCCACCCAGCGGTGCGCTCCAGGAACTTGGGGCTGAGGATTTGCAGGGAGATTGAGGGAACTGCACAGGGAGGGAGAGCGATGACCTGCGGATTCACGCTCAGGGTGAGGATTTATTGCTGAGAGACATCCTGGAAAAAGCCACCATAAATGTAGGTGTGGAATGACTCCAGAATGAGCCCTGATGATAAGTTTGCTATACGTGCAGTTTTGAGAGGGCTGAGACCTGGTGCTTTGAAGGGGAGAGACTGGAAGACCTTTATGGGTCAGACTGATTCTCCACCCCACATGGGACTTCTGAGCTGGGCTTGTTAGCATGGAACATTGCTGACTACCACAATCCAGGCCTCATAAAGACTAGGGCTGAGGATCCATCTGGCAGGGCTAGATCCTAGTACCTGACTGTGAATGTTGGAACAAGAAATGGGTCACATTATCCTGGCCCATGACACTAACCAGCACACAAGAGAACCAAGTCCAGGAGTAGATACTGTAGGGAATATGTGGGCCTAACCCTATGGAAGTACAAGTCCTATTGGTTAGCTTAAGAGTTGGGATGGTGAGGGGCTGAGCTAGGCGTGCCCATGCAATCTGCCAACACTCAGGGGCACTGGGGTGGGGAACAGGCTGGGCAGGTCTAGGTTGCAGCACCCACATGCACACCCTAAAATGGTATAGGGCAGGCCAGGTTGCATCAATTACCAGCTCATACAAAGGCTGGGATGGAAGAAGGCAGGTTATACTGGGTAGGGGTCTGGTAGCTGCTGGCATGTGTGAGATCTGGATATAGGAGTGAGCCAAATGTGGGAACCTGGGCAATTCCCCCATTGGGTAATAGCTTGCACTGGCAAACACATGGTCCAGGCCTGGGTGTCAAGCAATCTGTCAGCAAGTGTGTGGGCTCATTTTGGAAGGGGACAGACCAGGCAGGGCTGAGCAGACTTTAGCCCCCTGGCAAGTGCAGAAACTAGACTGGAGTGCAGGTCATTCCTGCCTTTTTACATGAGTCAGGGATGGGAGCAGACTGAGTAGGGCCAGGTTGCAGCACCTGCCAATGAGAATTGAGATTGGGAGCTGGCTGGATCAGGCCAGGCTGTAGCATCCAATGGCAAAGGCCAAGACACATGAGGGGCTATGCCAAACTGGGTCAGAGCAACAATTGGCATGTGCAAGATCCATGGCTGGGAACAGGCCCTGTTGGGGAACTAGGGGTATCCCCTGGGTTGGTTGTGGTTCCCATGAAGGTCAGAGGGCTAC